AGTGCATTGAATATCTTGAGATAGCTTAATATGACGCATTTTGACGGTTACGTTGAACTTGATTAAAGTATGTATTGATTATTTTGACGCATTCGACGGTTACCTTGACTTGATTAAAGTATGTGTGCACAGACAAAAACATCGAAATCATCGCCGTGATCGCCCAAAAACTCTACCCCTACGCAGAGGAGACTGCGAACAAAAAGGAAGGTTAAAATATACGACTTAACTTGGCACTCAAAATTATAGAGGTTCCGCGTCAAAAACGGTTTCGCTCTACCAACGGCATAAGAACTTAATTATGGGTTGTTGTTCACCAGGGTTATCAAGGGGTAGAAAGGGGCATTTCGCACAGACAGCGTCACAGATTTAGGGCGTTTGTCCGTTTTAACTGCAAAGTAGGCTTGTCGTTATCTTGATCATGTGAAAACTCGTGGTGCGATCACACCAGTCCGATGATGTTCATCGAGCTGTACAGTACCATAGTCGTTCTGCGTGAATAATACACTGATTTGAACGATTAGTATGAATATGCTGTAAATTGCTTCTCGTTGTGCTTAGTAACGTTAGTCGACCCTGATCCATTGTCTACAGCTTCTTAAATCTGTTCTAGCGACCAAATGTGATTGGTCCTCCCATTACCTCTGAAAACGGATGTTACGTTGCTTGTAATATACTTTCAATACTTTCGATTCGAAAGAAAAATAGGTGGACTTGAGTGAGTTGATACCAGTATGCCTCGACGTCGTTGATCTATGGGTCGTATCCCCTCGATGGTATCTAGTTACCAATCCCCTGTCAACGCCGCCGTGCCTACCCCAATGTTGCCGTTAATAAAAGACCAATCACCAAATATAAATATATATATATCGTCCCACGTACTTTCCGCCGCCGCCTTCTTTTGCTTGAGTAGGGCCATGTGGATGGGCTGGATAAAGTCCTTGGCGAAATAGTCGACATATTCTTGGAACAGGCGGTACTTGCTCGCGGCGTTGTCTACCCACCCCACCGTTCAGTTTATTATCTCTCAATATATATATATATATTTACCTGCATCCGTGGCGTTCAATTCGCGTTCCAGCGAGACCAACGTCGGGACCGACTCGTAATTAAAGTCGTCAATATGGCGGGGATCGATGGGAACACATACGCGACCTAAAAGCGGTACATTTATATACAAATAACGACACAAGGGGGGCTAATAACAGACCCGTCTTGGGATGGATGGCAAATGGGCTCTTGAGCAAATGGTTGCGCTGCTTGGATACGTTGGCATCCAGTCGAGGGTACAAGTATGAAAACACAATTTCTGCCAGACACGTGCGCAGATGTCGGCGGCGGTCGTCCGAGACCTGATAGAATCAGGTGGTGACGACATGTAGAATCAGAATCAGATGCGCATATGCGCATATCATCAGAATCAGACGACGACGATTGTGTGTCATCCAACAACACAACATGAGCCATGACATGGACGGACGTACGCTTTTCCGCTTCTTGTCGTGGACGGCATGCTCGACCGCGGCTTTGAGTTGCCCCCATTTCTCCCACGGCGTCGTCGTGTCCAGTTGCTGGGTCCACATTTCGTTCAATTTGGCGCGAATATCTAGCCCAAACATTGGACGATATCGACGAGAACTTCAAACATTTGCAGGACTAACCGTCGTCCGGGACCATGTCTAGCAGTTTGACCCAGTGCTCCGGGGAGCACAGCACGCCTTGGCCGTACGGACCGAGGATCACGTCGCCCAGCATGGGCTCGAGTATGGCGTACGCGCGTCTACGTCATCGGGTTAGGAGAAGGATGGACGAAGAAGGATGGACGTGCGCACTCAAGGGATGGATGCAAAGGCTCCGTCAACTTGACTTTGCGCTTGACATGCTCGCTGCCTTCCACAAGTGTAAAGTACTGCACCACAGCTGTCCGCGCTTCGTTCGTGAGCATGCGTGACGCTGTGTCGGACACCCAGCAATGGATCCCTCGACGACCCGAGTACACCCACAAAATGTGCTGGAATCCAAAGTCCTCTGCATATATCGACATCATTATTGAGAGTAGTGAAGATGATTCATAGATGGGTCGTGTGGACGGATATGTGTACCTCGAAGGCCGCGGTCCATGACCTTGACGGCGGCGACCATGAGCTGCCAACACTTGTGGCAGATGGCGGCCGCTTGACAACACGTACGTGTGTCGTCATAATCTGTCAGATCGACATCAAACACAAGTTCTCGTTCTTCGGGCACGAATTTGGAGCTGTCTACTTTGCCCTTGTCCATCGGCTACGAGACGACAACGTATCAAACATGAGGGTATCCCTTGGTGGGCATGGGGTGCACGTACCGACACCGAGAACACTGCGCCGATATCGATCTTATGAGGCATCAACCGCTTCATTTCCGATTTGAGCTCGTCCGCGTTGCGGAACGCTTTGTATCGAATGTACTGGTCGTTCTCGAGCGTGAACGAGAACTCACGGCGACTGATGAGGGTGTTGGGCGTGCTTGCGTCCTTGGCGACGCTGGCGTCGTAGCCCAGCCAGTGCACCATCTCCTCGTACGGGAAGAGTCGGTCGTAGTACAGCGCGAGAAGCTCTGGGGAGAACGCATCGTCGTTGGTCGACATGACGGTGGTGGCCGCGACGACTTGCGCTCAAATGAAAATGAAATTGCGCGGCAAATGGAACGTTATGTCCGACGCACTTAACATAGAACATCCGGATGTGTTATCCGGATGTTCGTATAAGGAAGTATTTGACCACACTCCAAACAACCTCAGCAGCGCGATGGGGAAGTCGCGGGTGTCGTACTTCTACCACCGTAGGGCCTCCATGAAGCTGCTACGAGAAGGAGACTAAGAGGATGGATGTGTGTAGCGGAAGAAGGGAACTTCTACTATGGACCGGGTCATCCCATGAAGCCGCATCGACTGAAGTTGGCGCACCACCTCGTGTTGAACTACGACCTGTTTCGTAAGATGGAAGTGTTTGTACGTGGTGTCGTCATCCATGAGTACGGCGATGCACTAAACGACATGGTAGGAACCGCATTGGGCGTCGTCGGAAGAAGTCAAGGCATTCCATACCCCCGAGTACGTCGAGTTCCTCAAGAAGATCAGCCCATCCAACGAAAAGCAGTACCAATCCGATGTCAACAAATGTACTCCCTCCATCTTCCTTGACCCTGATCGTAATGTTATCATCCTATATGTAGTCAACGTGGGCGAATTCACAGACTGTCCTGTGTTTGACGGCATCTTCAACTTTTGCCAGATCTACTCTGGCGGGTCCCTGGGTACAAACATCCCTTTTCGTGTCGTCAGTAGAGCGATTTGAAGATTCTCATGGCGCTACTCTAGATGCCGCGTACCGGTTAAACCACGGCCTCACGGACGTCGCGATCAACTGGGCGGGGGGGTTGCATCATGCGAAAAAGTCGGAAGCATCTGGGTTTTGCTACATTAACGACATCGTGCTGGGCATCCTCGAGCTTCTCAAGTGCGTACTTTTGCTTGCATTTCCTAGGAACGGTTCTCATTCTCGACATTGTAGGTACCATCCTCGGGTGCTGTACATTGATATCGACGTCCACCACGGCGACGGCGTCGAAGAAGCGTTTTACGTCACGGATCGCGTCATGACGGTGTCATTTCACAAGGTAGATATATATGTATATCCAATAGAAGAATATATATACAACCTGTGGCGCGGGTGAATATATATATAATATATATATATTTCCACCACCACAGGTTGTAGGTATATTATATATTTCCCACAACCATGTTGACATTTATATCGTAGTACGGGGATTTCTTTCCTGGCACGGGGGACATCAAGGTAATATATATAAACAATATAATATATATAAACAAGCAGAGCAGGATTAGAGTGTATCTAACATACATTGCTCTATCGGAAGGATGTCGGTGCGAAAGCGGGCAAGTACTACGCCGTCAACTGTCCGCTCAAGAGCGGCATCGACGATGAGAATTACTTGACGATTTTCAAACCCGTGGTGGAAAAAGTCATCGAGACGTTCCGACCTGGCGCGATTGTGCTGCAGTGCGGCGCCGACTCGCTCACGGGCGACCGCCTCGGCTGCTTCAACCTGACTGTGCAAGGTACTAATATTCCTTCTCTTTGATATTGTCCTTTTGCAACCAAAGCCATCGATTGTTTTGATCTGAAGTTTGTATGTGAAAAGGTCCAGTGTTGATACATAAGTCACAAACTACTCGATGTGGAATAGTGTTGAAGCGAGAACTTGATTGGCCACTTGATTCGTGTTTTGTGGGTTTTGATTGGTCGTATATCGATTGAGCCCTTCCACTCCAAATTCGTATCGACTTGGCAATACATACATATATATATATTGTGCATGTCTGGTCAAGAAACGGTCATATGTATAAACATGTTTGGGGGATGTATTTGTCAAAAACCACAAAAATCGGATATAATACTTTATTATCTATATCTAGATTCAGGGGGATACATTGGTCCATAAA